CTTAGGCTAGGTCCCTTGTGATAGGTGTTTAGGGACGTAAAGTGAGGATAACGGGAATGGGAAATCATGGTTATTGTTGATTGATGAACTTAATAAGTTTATTATTATTGTGGGTTGAAAACCCTATATGCTCACCAGGCTCCCAAGCCTGACCTACTCAACTTTTTATGTTACAGGTAGTGGACCCCGAGCATAGTCGGATGATGATGAGAGATTTTTGGATTATAGGCCAGTAGTTGTAAATAACTGTTGTAAGGCTTATAATGTCTTGTTTATGCTTTTGATCTGTATCGGAACATGACATCCCGAGGTTTTGATATAAAAGGAAATTATATATTTCTTAAAGAAAGGTTTTGATAAACTTCTATCATGTTTTGTTTTGGGGACCAATTCCGCAACATCTTTTAAAAGGATTTCTTTGATTTTATTTTAAAAGCATAAATTAAATTGGTCTTTTCTGGCCGAGAAATTAGGGGATGTCACATTATGTATGCATGATTATGTATGTTTATGTTATTATGTATGTATGTTTATAAGATTATGATATTTTTTTCAAATACCCAATACTTATTAGATGAAGATAATGCATGTTTATATGAATTATAACCTTATGAATGACTATGTGTGTATGAGTAGATGTTAGCGATATTGTGTCAAATACCTGTAATATAATAAATGAAAGATAGAGTATGAAAGTGTGATTAGATATAGATGATATTGTGTTAAATGCCTACAAGATGTTATATGGAGATAGATTATGATTATATGTTTATAATAATGTAAATGAGCATGTGTGTATGTTTGGAGTATGTATGTATGGTTGAAGATAGACTATGTATGTATTATTGAAGTTAGAGAATGTATGTATGGTTGAAGATAAATTATGTATGTATATTTGAAGATAGAGAATGTATGTATGGTTGAAGATATAGTATGTATGTGTAGTTGAAGATAGAACATGTATGTGTGTTTGAGATAACTTATGTATGTGTGGTTAGATATTGATGGTACTATATTAGATAAACCATCACAGATTAGATGGAGATAGAGTAATGATGTATGACTGGAGATTTATGGTATTGAGCTAAACATATATATGTTAGTAGATAAAGATTTAGATTAAGTACTTAATGAATTACATACTACATGGTTAGTAGAAGGCCTCTTAATGAGATGATGAGATAGATTGTTATGTGACAGGTGATGTGTAAGACTATGGTGAGACCATAACATTCACATGAAAGTTTATGAGAATATAGAAAGATGATTCCTTAGGGAATGAGATAGATGATTCATTCGAGAATGAGAATGAGATAGATGATTCGTTTGGGAATGAGATGATGATTCCTTTGGTAATGTTAATAGATAACTCCTGCGAGAATAAGAGGTTGTGTGGTTACAAAAGAGTGAGAAGGGTTCCATGAGTGGAACAAGGAAAAAAGTTTCTTTAGAGAAACTTGATATAATCTGTGAGGGATTAATTGTAGAGGATCCATAAGAGATCATTATAAACCGTGAGGGGATTAAAGAAAAAAAGAAGTTGTCAGAGGATCCGTATGGGATCAAAGTGAGGGGACTTAGTCCGGATGGTTGTACTCTAGTAAGTTAGAATTATGTTGTCCCATATATGATAGGTGAAGCTATCCTGTATGATTAGACTAGTTGGGTCTAAATGGGAATAGAGATGTAGAATGTAAGAATAGATGGGAGTAAAGATGAGATGGGACGTAAAGAGAGGATGAAGTATGCCATAGAATGGGAAGAGAGTATGAGGCGAGAAAGAAAAGGTCATAATAAGAAGTGTAAATAGGGTAGAACAAGAGGAGAAAGATGAGGTGAGAAGAAGGAATGAGAAGAGTCGGGGGGAGGCTGGCATAAAGTATGAATAGAGTATGAGAAGAGATGAGAAGGCGTGAGTTGATATAGAGTAAGAGTAATGAAAGAAAGAACAAAGTAGTAGAGTATGAATGCATGAAAACAGATTAAAGTATAACTCATCAGTCCTGTGGTCTGATGTTGTGGATTCTTTCATTTTTTTGCAGGCTTAGGTGGTGGTCGTTGTACAATAGGATGTAGGAGCACAAGGACTTGGACTAGAAGTAGTTTTTATTTTTAGTGTACCCTTGTTGCTTAAATTTTGAGTATGATTTTATTGTAAACCCAATATTAGCCTGAGATATAAAGTGTTTTTGAGTTATAGAATTCCACATTTGTTAGAAAACCCTGATAATCCCTAGATAATTAGATGAGAAAAATCTGGGTCGTTACAATCACAGTGACATCCAAATGCCAAGCACACCATTGATGGTTAGTTAACAAACATTTGGATCTCTTTTAACGTTAACCGTCTGACTTAGTGTTGGCTGTTAGGGGATAGCGAAAACGTTGAATTTAACGTTTACAATTAAGCAGACATTTACTCTCAAAAGAGATGATGTCGTCAACAAAATAATGGAAACACCGATCTTCAAGCAAACCTTCTCGAGCATAGATCAAAAACACATATCTCACATCAAGAAATGCATATGATCACAAGATCTGATGTAGAAAAAAATATTCTTAATGGAAAACATTCCTCATCGAGTAATATATACATGACGAGGAACAAGAAAATAACAAATCTAAAAAACATGACACCAAAAACCAAACAACAAAAAACTAAGAAACCCTAGTTTAAAAACAAAATAAACAAAAAATGAATCAAAGAACATTGTACGACTCAGATCGCACCAAAAACATGATCAAATTGCAAACACGAGCTAACTCTATCTCTGATACCATGTTAAACTCATAAAACTCACTTTTAATAATACGTAATAAAACATGTATATTTGAAACCTCACTACAAGATTCACTCACATTATATGAAATAAGACTTAGTAAAAACAATCAATAACCACTAGAAGAAGAATCAACAGAACTATATGAACAAACCCTAATCACAACAGAGAGAAAACTAGAGAATGGTCGTATAGTGTGAATAGAGAATGAGAGAATAGACCAAATTTTCTCTTTAGTATTGATTATATACATGGTTTATCAAGTCGATGCAAACCTAGTGTAAACCCAAACCAAACTCGATGTACTTGACCCAAGCATGGTCTGTGCCTCTGTCTACGGGGCTGTTGTTTTTTGTCTGCAGATTTGCGAGACCACTTCTATCTGCGTCGTGCATACCACGCGCAGACATATGCCCTTGCAGACTGTTTGTTTTTTGAAAGTGCGCAGACCTAAGAACGTATGTGCGAGGTCTTTTTGGTACAGACATGAACCAATGTCTTCTAAGGTCTTCACATCTCATTTAACCCTAACAAAAAAAACACGTAACTCTTTTCTCTCAGCGCCTCCATACCTCTCATCATCATCGACCGTTCATCCACCGGTCGTCCTCCTTCCGATCGATCACCAGAATTACAGAATCACCGTCCACTAGACCCACCGACCACCGTACGCACCATAAGCCCCGACCTCCACAACCATCTACGAACACAAATCCTCCCTTCTCCACACGACGTCTTCCTTCTGTTCGACCGATTTTCCTTCTCCTTATCCTTCTCCTTTCAGGTAACACTTTCCTCCTCCTTTTCCCCATCTGATTTAAAATCAATTGTTTTTATGATTTTTGAAGAAACGTATCTGATTTCTAGAATATCAGTTTTTTTTTTCAAAATCTGATTTGTTTGATGGGGTGTTTGGTAGATAATTTTTTTTCTTGTTTATGCTAATCTGATTATTCTGGGATGTTTTCAAGATCAGTTTTTTTTAATTAATTAATTAATTTATTTTTATAAATCAAATTATACTATGGGATGTTTGATATTTGTTTAAAGCTAGATGATTGTTTGTTTATGCTAAAAATTAGATTATCATTCTGTTAATGACTTAAGATATCAAAAAAAAGATTTTTTTTATTTATTTTATTTATTATTATTATTATTATTTTTTGCATTGGTAATGAGTTAAGTAATCAAAAATCAGAATTTTAAAGCTTTGGTAATCAGAATTCAGATTATAATCTGGTATGTTTGTTTGGTAATCAGAAATCAGATTATGTTTTGGTATGTTTTTTCAGCCTACAGAGGTTAAAAAACAAAAAAAAACTTCTTATTGCAGACTACAGACGTTTGATCCACCTGTTCCGCCGCAGAGGGTTATAGATGTGGTCTGCAGACTGCAGACGTTTTTGCTTCGAAAAAACAAACAACACCTAAATTTCAAGGAAATAAGCCGCACCCTTTTAGTTCTGTCTTCTACCCTTTAGCCCTTCAAAACTTATCTTTAATGCTCTTTACCTTTTATACTATTCTCTTATAATATCCTGCACTAAACACCTTAAGTTAATAAAACTCGATGTTAATCTTAATCTTGAAACATATGCTATTCTCAACAAATGCACTAATCACAAATAAACAAAAAGGAAAACATATATAGATTACTGTGGGTCAATTTTGGTGGAAGTATAAAATATGATATTTGTTTATTTACTTTTTGAATCTTGTCATGAGGGTCCAATTGCAGGTGAGGATATCATAAACTTAGAAGATCTTTGGAGAAAAAATAAACAATATATTAGTTGTCTTGAAGCAAAATCTCTGGAGATTGTATTTTTACTTTGATAAGAATATCATAAGCTTAGAAAAAATTATAATTTTTTTGACAGTTTTCTAAATATTTAGTGTCTATAAGGATAAATAGCGCATTTCTTCTTCTATTTACTCTTCTTTAATAAAACACAAAATTTATTTTACTAGTTCAGTTGGCATTCGTGTGTTATAACTGATATGATCAATTATATATATTAGAAAAATATAGATCAATACATATCGATCGAAGACAAACGTATTAGAAAAATATAACTGATATTATCAAGAAAATAATAAATGTATATCTAACAAAAGTTATGATTATAAAAGTCTGATTAATAACTTATTACAACTGGCTAAAAGTAACAAAGTTATATATAAATTTGATGCTTACCTCCTATAAATATCCAATCCATCATCTGAATATTGCAATTTTTGGCTATTTGAACTTGAAAGAAGCAAAAGATAGAAAAAAAAACCCTAAACCCTAATTTGAATTTGTGCCACCCTCTTTCATCCTACCACCACCAGCTGTATATATAGCCAAAGATTGTAGTACACTGAGTAAAGCCTGCTGCCTTTTTGTTTTCTTTTACCCTTCAATCTATCCATCGACATTTCTGCCATTAATCTCTGTGTTTTGACGGGCTTCAAAAGACCCCATTTTAGTCTTTGCAACCAAACAACCGGAAAATAAAAAGCTGATTTGAAGTTTGTAAGCCACAAAAACTCGCATACACAAAGAAAGCAAAAGAGGGTCTCTTTGTGGAGCCCCATTTTCACATTTTCCTCTTCGCAATTTGCAGTGCTTGTAGTCGTCTATCCAGTCTAGAGAGAGAAAGACACCCACCCACATATTTTTATAGAGAGAGAGAGAAAGAGAGAGTGAGTGTGTGAAAGGGTGTGGGAGAAATATCAAATATCACATATATATAATGCAGCAGCACCTGATGCAGATGCAGCCCATGATGGCAGCCTATTACCCCTCCAACAACGTCACTACTGATCATATTCAACAGGTTTCCTTCCTCCCTGAGATATGTTTTCACCTTTAACTTTCTCTTTCACACACCAGAATCAAGTCCTCTGTGTGTGTCTTGTTGTTGGGTGGATTTGTTCAACTTTATTGATCTTTTTATGTTGCTTTTTTTTGGCTTTTGCCTGCCTTTTTCCTGCTTGTTTCTTCATCTGAAACAAGTTTCCCTGTATATATAGACCTTATTATCACATATATCTTTAATTTATTGCTCTACCACTTTTAGGTTGAATATCTTTTCACCATACTCAAGTTCTTTGCATGATCTGTTTGTTCAATACTCGTAACAATAACACATGCTTCTTCGTCCTTTTTCCGACTGTAAAAATGCAAACTTTCTGTTGAATATTTTATGGGTTGTTGTTTTCATTATCTTTTATTGGGTCTTCCATTGTTGCTTTTTTCTCTTGCTTACTGGGAAACTTAAACAAGAGAATAAAGTTTTGAGCTTTGTGTACCTTTGGGTTTTCTTTATAACCGGCACAGAAAACAAGAATTGAACCCCAACCCAAAGTTCATGTGACCTAGCTAGGGCCAAATACCATTATAACTAACCTAAATGGGTTTTTGAAAAATATTCACTTCACAAGTTCAAGAAAGTCGATATAGTTTTATTCATGGAAGTCTTTTTGTTTAGGGTTTGAGTGTGGTATAAAGAAGAGTTGTGAAAAGAGAGGCTAAGGTTTCATATTCACACAAAATAAAATAAAAAATATTGGACAAGGAGTCGTTTTTTAATGATTAAAACTGTCCGAAATTCCAAAAAAGGTGCATTTCAATTCCGTCAAGTGGACTTTTTTTGGAGATTGCATGAAACATATTCTCTTTCCGTTATAAAAAAAGCATAAAGTTTTTTAATTTATTTGCGAATATGATTCAAATGTGCAGTTTGAATTAAATATTAAATAAAATTAGCTCCCCCTTCTTGGTAATGGGTTAATAAAGATTCGTCATTAAACATTCTTTATTTGCATCAATCTTTGTGCTTTTGTATTTGATTTGCTATCTTGATTCACATGTTGTCTTTTGTGGTCTAGGCATCTTATTACCAGATTTCATTACGCAACAACAAGATTATTATATATATGTTGTATACAATAACCCACGTCCCTTCTTTTTGTGTGTACGTTCTCCATATAATCAAATATAATTTGAATAATGTGACTGATATGTAGTGGTACACATTTTTATATTAATTCTTTGTTCTTGGTTTCGTTTATATGCATTAGTTTTGTTTCATGTATATAATTACTCATGTGCAGTACCTTGATGAAAACAAGTCTCTGATCCTGAAGATTGTCGAGAGTCAAAACTCAGGGAAAATGGCCGAATGTGCAGAGTGAGTATTTCCATTTTGGATATGAATTTTTGCTGAAATTGACCAAGTGTATTCTGATATATCAATAAATGAAGTATAGTACATTTGTCTTTTGCTAATAAATTAATAATAATGAAATTAATATCACTTTTTGATTATTGCAGACATCAGGCCAAGCTTCAGAGAAACCTGATGTACCTTGCTGCCATTGCTGACTCTCAACCCCAGGCACCTGCTCTTCATTCTCAGGTAAAATATTTCACTATTCAGATCAAATTTCATACTTTCCGATGATCCCAATTACATATTTTTTCTTTTTCGATATTACGATTCAGTATCCTCAAGGGGGAATGATGCAGCAGCCGGGAAGTCACTACATGCAGCAACACCAACAAGCGCAACAGATGTCACCTCAAGCACTCATGGCTGCACGTTCTTCGATGCTCTACAGTCAACAGCAGTACTCGTCGCTACAGCAGCAGCAGGCGTTGCATAGCCAGCTTGGAATGAACTCCGGCGGTGGAAGTAGCGGACTTCACATGATACAGTCCGACAATAACAATGCTGCTGGCGGTGGGACTCATCTCGGAGGAGGAGGAGGGTTCCCGGACTTTTCTCGTAAGCAAGACATTGGGATTTCTGGGCCCACCAATGATGGTCGAGGTGGTGGCTCCGGTGGTGGGGATGGTGGTGAGACACTGTACCTGAAATCTCCCGACAAAGGTAACTGATCAATGATCATACACTTTGTGTTAGGCAAAACTGCTTTAGTTTCAATCTTTTATGAGTTTTTGTAGTAGCTTGTAGTCTTTTATGGAAGTACGTAGAATGTTCTATATATTTGAATTCTCGATGTTGGGTTGACTTTGAAACTGTAACTGTTGATCTTCGTGTTCTTTATGTTTTGGGACGATGGATCATATGATAGTCTATTTTGTAAATTTGTAGGTTGTCTTTCTCGTGGTTTCTTTGTTTTTATACAAATTGATATTATCAAATCGTTAGTCAACATGGACCAAATAGACCCTGTTAAATCACGGGTCGGGTCGAGTCAGATTGATCCCAAACCCATCGTAAAAGATGATAGATGGTTGAGTGGCCAAAATTTGAAGATAAACAAAAACTGAGTTTTTATACTAATTGTGGGTTTAGATACATGCTAAGGCCAAAATGATGATATAACTAGGACTCTTAAACAATATCTCCCACTGAGCAACTATCTGTATGAATTCCACTCTGCAATATCTTCCCATGAGAAACTATCGATCAAGGCTTGTGGCTTCTTGTTTGAAGGTTCATAAGAAAAGTGTGCACGAGTAGCTTCTCCGGTGGCGGTGGTGGTGGTGGTGGCGGCGGCTGTGGTAGGATTAGAATATACGCCAAAGCTGGTTTGGACGGGAGTTTGGCCGGTGAAATGTTGCACGATTTCTTTAAACTGAGAAGCATCTTTTGCTTCCACCATGACTGGGCTCGAAATGTACTTCACCTTTATGCTCTTCATATCAGTCTCTGGTGTTGTCGGGGTTTTGTCAGAAGCTCTGCCACTACTGTTTTTGTTCATTTTCTTGAATATGGCGGTGTCTACTGTTACTCTGGTGTGTGGTGGGTAATTAAAAGGCCTATGGATCCTTGGGCATTTAAATACTTGTGTTAGATGCGAAAATGTACAACTCTTATTGCACAAGGTATAAACTAACGTAGTCATATCGTTTTCAGTTGTAGGATTTTGAAAATCGTCGTGCTGTGTATTAACTATTAAGTTATCGTATTCTCGAGTTAAAAACGACAGATGAAGGGAGATTTTACAAGTCTTAATGCTCAAGATACAAGTGGTTATTTAGGAGCTAGCTTCGAAGAAGGATTCGTTAAAAAGACAAGATGAAATTTGGTTGATTGTTGACTCGACAGATGTAGCTTCGTGGATGCAACTAGATAATTGATGGTTTTAAAAGATACGTTGACATTTACGTTTATGTAGTTCAATAATCTCTATTTTCAATTAGACTAAAAGACCAAGAACTTTGGGGATTTTGCTTGGGCCAATCAAGAACAAAAAGTCTATGCAAGAAACCGAGAGGAAGGTGGCAAATCGGGTAAAGCTCATATTCGTTATAAATTTGGTGTATTTATTGTTTGTCTTATAGTTCATCTTTTAATTTAATCATATGATGTAGGATGTTTATATTGAATCAATCATACGTAACCATAATGGATTATTTCTCACATACTATACATAAGGTTGGTTGGGTTTAATGGAAAGAGATGTGATATTTTTATTTATGTGTTTGATTATCCATTTAAAAATTTTAAATGTCTTTTGACTTTTATATCCATTGATCATGATTTTCTATTCAGTTAAAATGATTTATTATTCAATTAAAATAAAAAATATAAATATAAAATTATTTAAATGGTTTTTTTATTCAAGTAAAAATAAAAGATAGAAAAATAAATCACTCAACCACACCGGATTCAAGCTTATACTACTAGAAGTCTAGAACTAGAACTACGAGTTTGTCCGAATCGATCTCAATGTATCCCTTTTTTTCTATAAATAGATAAATAAAAAAAATAAAAAACATAAATAAAAATATCAACAACGCCTAAATACTATGGTTGTCAAAATCGCGATCCTGATCGTAGGATCGTACGATCCTACGATCCTAGGTATGAAAAATAACTCAGATTGTAAACGGATCGTAATTGGGGTAGGATCGGGATCCGATCCGATCCTACCTTTGTTTGATTTGATTTATTTATTTATTTATTTATTTTTTTGCAAATGACTTTTTTTACCACTTAATGTATTTATCTTTACCAATTACCGTTTATCATTTTGTGTTGTGATTTATGACTAATATTTTGAAGTTTTTATAACTTTTAAACGAAAAAATGAAATTTTGAAATATTTTTTATATTTTAAAATTATAAATTAAAATTATGTTTTATTTTGTGAGATTTTAAGATCACGATCCCGACCTTGTAAACCCAAAAATGATCCTACGTAGAATTCCGATATTGACAACCTTGCTACTTAGAATTTGGTGTTTGAAAATGAACATTTCCGTTCCAAAATTTTCAAACCAGCTGCCCAAATATATATTTTCTAAATTATCGCAAATAGTTAACATATTTCTATTTCGACAGATTTGGTAACTAAAAATGTCCCATCTTAGGTTTTCAACTAACATACGTAACTATAATGAACATTATTTGTAGAAAACTATTATTTATTTTATGTTTTGTTAAATTCTAGAAAAAAATTAATATATTTTTATTTTTTATTTATCTTTTTATCCACGTAAAATACCGATAAACATATTAAAATATTGTTATTTTTATCATAATTGTCATTTTTAATGGGCTGCGTTTTAGATCCTACTTGTCAAAAATAATTGAGTTTATTTTAATTTATTATTTGTTAAATCCATAAATGTAACTTACTTTTGCTTATGAATTACCCTAGCGGCTAATTATTATATATATTATTATATATATATATATATATATATATATATATATATATATATATTAAAGTTATGAAGGAAACGATCAGTAAAGTTACTAAGATGTTGGTTGCAATTTCGAGTTCCTGGGCATTTTATGGACTTATCAACATTCTCAGATGTTTCACCTTTTCTCCACCGCCTTATCTTCCTTCTCTAATAATATATATATATATATATATATATATTAAAGTTATGAAGGAAACGATCAGTAAAGTTACTAAGATGTTGGTTGCAATTTCGAGTTCCTGGGCATTTTATGGACTTATCAACATTCTCAGATGTTTCACCTTTTCTCCACCGCCTTATCTTCCTTCTCTAATAATATATATATATATAATATATATATTAAAGTTATGAAGGAAACGATCAGTAAAGTTACTAAGATGTTGGTTGCAATTTCGAGTTCCTGGGCATTTTATGGACTTATCAACATTCTCAGATGTTTCACCTTTTCTCCACCGCCTTATCTTCCTTCTCTAATAATATCTTTCTTTCTCTTTCTCTTGCTTTCTGGATGGTTCCATCCACTACCCTAGACGGCGTCATACCGCCCACCACCTGTAATACCGAAGTTTCCTTTTCCTTTCCACCTCCTTCTGTATTTCGATTACGGCTCCACTCGATCTGCTCGACCTCCGGCATCAGCATGCAACTTTGTCGTCTCCGACTTCATCGATCTGCTGAAAAAATTAATCAATGACGAGATGAAAGATCTAGATAAAGATGATAGAGAAGAAACACGAAGGAAATTGGTGGCGATGGCGTTTGTCATAGTCAGAGAAAAACGATGTTGGAGGGGAGCTGGTGACGCTGGCGCCAAAGTACCCCTATTATTCCGTCGGCTTCACCTCTGTTACCCTTATTCCTCCATTGATTTCGCTTCCGTGTTTCCTCCCAGTAAAACCCCTAAGTTCGACCAACCATCGCCGCGTCGGAGTCAGCTTCAGAGACCCGGTCAGATATTGTATATCTCCGGGGAGCTTCACTAAAGAAAACGCGAGGAAGCTCTGGCTGTACACAATGGAACGGAGTCGTTTGACGATGTGAATGGAAACGGAGTCGTTTCACGATGTGATGTATGGGTTCATCTGACTACAGAGGGCATTCTTCTTCTGTAACGCCTTCCTATACTTCTTCAACACCTAATGCATCCCTAAAGTTTAGGAACCAAATGATTCGACTCAGCCATTGATGCGACTTCAAGCCAAAGATGAAACATCGACAAAATTGGTAAGACCAATCAAAACAATAGCCCCGATCATCTATTTTCTGCCACCACGAAACACGACTGAGTCGATTTTCTCTTTTGTGGTCGCCTTTTACATCTCCAGACGAATAAGATGCCACATAAGGCTTTTTTCTCTATGAGGTGCAACATTCAACTTCACCCTCTATTGATTTTTTTTTCGGTAACAACTAATTGATTTGAGGTTAGATAGGGTTTTTTTGTAACAATGAATTATGGAGTAGAGAATGGTTAAATTGAACACTGAAACCAAAAATATTACAGGTCAGGTGAAAGAAAGTATGTTGATGTCCGCTGGATTGAGCCTTTTCAACATTGTATTTATTGACAAAGGTACGTAATGCTATTTCAATGTTTTAATAGAATTTCTCATGTTTGAAAGAATATATGTCTATGTAACTGGATTCTAAATGTTGAATCCGACAACTGATTTCTTTTGATTTATAAAATTATTGCTTTTACAGATTTAGTAAAATCTTTGTTTTTTATTTTTTTTTATTTTTTTTTTATTTTTCATCTCAGCTTCAATTTCTAAATCATGAATCGGAAGTACAGATTTAGTAAAATCTTTGTCTTTTTTTTTTTCTGTTTCATCTCAGCTTCAATTTCTGAATCATGAATCGGAAGTACAGATTTAGTAAAATCTTTGTCTTTTTTTTTTCTGTTTCATCTCATCTTCAATTTCTGAATCATGAATCGGAAGTGGCAGAAAGTGATTAATTTACCGATACTGCGTTTCACTGTTCACCGATTGGAGTAGACGTAACTCAAGCCTCAAGCCCAGATGGTAAATCGAAGTCTTCAATAAATTAGGGTTTGATTTCGTGGGTATGTTTTATATTTTGAAGGCTTATTTGTACATTTTACTTTCTTTTTACAAAATTCTATTGGAGTCTGAACATTATAGCTTAACTATCTTCTCACCATTGATTTTACAGCAGTAATAAGAGTTTTTTGGCCTGTTAAGCCTTTCCTTGATGACCACTGTGATGAAACGGTGACATATCAATGCTTAATTCATTACATGTAAAGCTCAACACATTTTTGTTCGTTCACTGATCATTTTGACAGAAACGATACATAGCTTGGACTTAAAAAATTGGCACAGGTATCTTTCAAAATGGTTGGGACATCTTTATAAGGAATGACAATAGATCCTAAATCCATGAGTTACTACTTTCGTAGAAAAGTTCATTGATGTTTCTGATTGCAGGTTTAAGGAGAGTCGGTTATGGTTTTTTGGAAGATTAAACGGAGGTTTGGGAAGCTGCTGCTAGAGAGCATGTCTTTGGGGAAGCAGACGGTTAAACATGCCCAAATTGCCCTTCACTTTATAGTGAAAGTGAAGCACAGATTAATACGTATAATCCTCTTTCTATCTAATTTTTTATTTCTCCAAATTATTTACTTCACAGATTTCACTTACAAGTTGCAACCAATCAAATTTTGATTATAATAAGAGCAAATTACAAATTTGGTCTCTGTGTTTTTCTTAAAATTACAAACTTTGGATTTTTTTTTTAAGTTTACTTTTTACAGTGGATATAGTCCCTGTCATTTAGTCAAAGTTAGAAGTTAAGTCCAAAATTTGAAGTCATTTTATATTTTCCAACTTTTTTATTAATTTTTTAAAAATTTTTTTTGTTAATGTGAGATCAAAAATTTACTAATTTTTCCACAGGGAAGAAATCAGATTTATGGTTGAAAGCGATGGTCCTGCTAAAGGAATTGTATTCAGCCAGATTGAAAAAGATCCGGTAAAGTAATACAAATCCATCATCTATTTTTTGCTGCTACTTTGCTTTTTTGCTGATTTTACTGATATATTGAACACAATAACTTGCAATTTTGGTGAATTAGCTTCACAAGATCTGGCCTCGGTCTCCATCAGTTACTAATCACTCGCATCTCACAATGGCCATTCATTGAGAATCCATCAACCAAGTAGACAATCCCCAAGAACAACAACAACCCACGGTAATTTCTTCACTCCTATGCAATCCAATATCAATTTCTCAGAATTCCTTTACCTGGAAAACCCAATGAATTCGGCAGATTTTCAGTTTCGGTGACACCACGGCTGGCAAATTCTGAAAAATCGGCGAATTTGCGGATTTTGATGATATCCATCGGGTTTGCTTCTATATATCTTATTTCCTCTACATTTCTTATTCTTTATCCTCATTCCAAAAAACTCCCCTTATCTCTTTTATTATTACAGTGGTGAATAACAATCTATAGAGGATGGAAGGGTTGCTACAACTTTCCCCCATATGGTTTTGCCATCATTTCTTCACCTGTATTTTCTACGCTTCATATATCCATACAGGTAATCCTAATCCTCCAATTTTTTCCTTGAGAAGTTACATATGCAACCGATAGAATACAAAAAAATGTATTCATTAGAGGCGTGATAGACTTTTAAATGGTCCGAGATTAACTTTTTTTTTTCTTCTGAACAGAAAATGGGTGGAAGCTCTACTTGGTTTATTGGTTGAAGCTTTTTGACATGATTACGCTGCTAATAAGGTTAGATTATGCAAAGAAAACAACTGAGGTTTTGTCTTTTTTAATTAAAAATTGAGTCATATTATTGATAGTGACAATGTGCAGGTGTGCCACTTGAAAAAATGTGGTAATGTTTTTCCCTGGTTAGTAGCCTTTTTTGGCAGTTTTTCACTTACAGTATTATTTACATTTTTCTATTTTTTTTTTGGCATCTTAATGTCTTAATGGGTACACTTGGAAATGTTAGATTAGGGAATGTCTATTCCCACTTGGAGTTTGGGAATTGTCAACCACATCCATGAAGCTGGGACAATTTTGTTTTCTGTAATAGCAACAAATATGATGAATAATATTGGATTTTAAATTGTAGAAAATAGCAACTGAAATCACAATCTTACATATAACTAGGTCAAAGAAGGAGGATCATCTGGCAAGATTGCTGAGGTGGAATCCGGTGAATGAAATGTTTCCTAATACTTTCTTATGGTTCAGGTTGTATATAGTTTGCTTATTTACAAACCTAATTTTTTTTTCTTATTTCCGTTATTGACCTTGTATATTTTTTTTATTTATTTACATAGATTTGGTCAAAGTGTGTTGATGATGAAGCTGTAAACATTGAAGTTGAGAACATGGCTGAAGCTTTAGTAATAGGAGGTTCTGCCATCATGAGAAAAATGGAGACTGGTTTCTATTACTCGCATGTTATACTCTACTCTGGTGAGCATATTGTCATGAAACGGCCCCATTTTTGCTGGTATTAGTTCTTTTCACCATTTCTTCATCTTTGATACTTCTGTATAGTTTTGTGGTCACTCCAATTTAACTTGATTTGTCAAACAAAGTTGCAATTTAATGTATGGTATTTGTATTTCATTATATTTCAGTTATTTCAATTCAGTGTTCATCGACTGATTTTTATTTCTTTCTTCAAATGTTTAATTTTATTATTTTATATCACAATTGTTATTCCAAATCAGTGATTAATAAGAGGCAATGAGCTAGGGCAAGTCGATTGACGAGAATAAGTTATCCCTAAACTTCATAATTATAGTTGTTTGTTTATATGTCTGTGGTTGTGTATGGCTTTCTGACTTATTGGATTTCTGTTGGTGTATGAAGTCCTTATAAGAAAACTTGGAAAATGTTATGTACCTACCTAATGAAGGTAGGTCATATTGTGTCACATTATGCTTTTTAAGTTTGTTTTTGTCTATATTTTTTCATTCATAAAATTTCTCTATTACGTTTATCGTATCTACAAAAGGTATAGTGAAAATTAAATAAACCATTAGTTTATACAATATAAATTTTATTTTTATGATCTTACCTGTTATCCGAATATACATGAATTATTGGTTTGGCACAATCTTATAGTTTTTTGGTTTGCAACTCTTTTAGGGGGCTGAAATTCAAATGAATACATCTGCATTCTGCAGTAGCTGATGAAAGTCGGAATGCTGAGGTAAATGGAATCAAGAACTGAGATTTTGGAAAAAATTGGAAGTGTATTGCTTTTTCTTGCATTTAACCCACATTGTTTATTTGTAATTTTTTGAATGTATTTTTCTTTCTTTTGCTTCTAATTATTCACTTTTAATGTAATGAAGGTGAGATTTTAGCACTTGATATCACTAGAATTGGAGGGATAATCACCATGCACCAAATCTGTAGGTTACTCTATTATCATTTTATGCATCAAAAAGTAAATATTTGTTTATTGAGTACTTGGATTTGGAGTGTAACAGATGCACAGAAAAAAATGACAAACATGATCCGTTTTACAATCAACCGATGGTTTCCAAACCCCGCAACACGTTCACTCCAAACCGTATGTGATATGTTGCTGCTGCTATTTCTGTATGCAGGTGTTTGTTATTGTTATTTCTTTTATGATTTCCTACAACTTCTACCCTTTGTGTCATATAAACCGTATGTGATACCTTTTATACCCTTATTTCCACCTGTCTTATGACTCATGGTTGATAATCCCAATTTTAAAAAAATAAATTTAATTAAGCTTTTATATGATGTGCAGCTTTCTATGGTGTAGGTCGCTTTTTATAGATTATCTTCATTTTGTATTGATCATTTCCAAATTACAGCTGCTTAGATATGTTGCTGCTTCTGCTACTGTATACACATGTTTATTCGATTAATAGATTCTTCTGTTTCCAGGGGCCTTATCATTTATGTATCAAAATTAATTTTCATAATACAAAATGTAATTGAATTTTGATTTTTTGTTAGTATATTAACAGGTTTTATATGACATGCACCTGCGTATAGAAGTGTACTTTCATTTTGTATACATGTGATTCTGTGTCTGTTGTTCCAAAATTACCCCCGCATTGATAACTTCCCGCTGCTGCCACTGCAGCCATGTGTTTCCCACGGTTCCAGGTGGCTGCTGAGTCATGTATCATAATTCGGTTTTTTTAAAAAAAAATATTAATTACCCCTGCACCCATTATACCCTCCTGTTACCACCCCACATATTTGATCCCATCGTCTTCTTCTTTATCTAGAAACTCAAAACACACAGACACACATACACACTGCAGGGGTAATTTTGGAACAACAGCCTTGTATGGTTTTTTCATAAAACAAAATTTAATTGAATTTTGATTTTTTTTATATGATATGCACCTTCCTATAGAGGAGATTGTATTTTCTTCGTTATTTTGGTTTTGTATTCCGTTGTTCCAACATTACCCCTGCATTCATAACTTCGTGATGCTTGGTTGTGAGAATGTGAAAGGGATTGTATTTGTAAATAGTAATATCATTGTTATCATCTTACTAGTAGATCGGATCTGTTTTTCAGTTTCATGTCGTATAAGGTTGAGGGAGTTCCTGATAATGCTGGTATTGGCCTTGAGGGTCCTGTGAATCTGAAACCACGTTGTTGTTGGTATACATTTTCAATGATATGGATTGTAGGATATTTCTGTAATTTATGTCACTTACAAATTTATGAGTGATGTTGTCTCCGGTATATCTGGATTGACATAGATATGTGTAGCATGTGATGACCCGTGTCGTAATGCTCCTACATGGAAGGTATTTGGTGATTAAAGGCATTAGAAGATATGATGTGACAGTGATAATATATATATATATATATATATATATATATATATATATATATATATATATATATATATATATATGGAGGTTTGTAGAAGAGGGTACCATTGGATTTTGATGGTTTTAGGTTCGTTACTGCAACAACTGTTGTCGTACATGGGTGATCTAGGGAGGCACGGTTGAATTTCTGTGTATTTGTTATACATTCTTTCCATAGATTTATTGCAAGTTCACTGCCACTAATGGAATTTGGGTTGTTTTTGATGTTAGATGGTGATGATGGAATTTATGTCTGTGCTTTGGTAGTTATTTGGTAGTTAGTATATATACCTTTCGTCAGTTAGTATAAGTAAGACAAACGGTTCTCGATTTGCTTTTGTGCAATCTCTTACCTTCGACAGAACGCCAACGAAGTCTGTTTGGAAGTAAATGAAACAAATGCTGACACGGTTAACAACTACCAGAGGCTAACAAATCAGAAGAAGAAAGGCTACTAAGTATTTTTTTTAAATCTGCAAATATTACGTTATGGGTTCAGTTTTTTCGGTTTTCCTTTTTTTTTATTTTGGAATTTGACTAATATACCCCTGCTGATGTTTTGGGCCAAACAACAAAAAAAAAAAAAAACATGACCTGGGAATGACGAATACGAACTATTTGGAAGTAAATTTTTTATATCTTTAAAACCGATTGTTCACAGTTGTTTTTTTTTATTGAATTCGGAAGTTGACGAATACCAAGCCCCATGACGAAGCATACCACACCAACTCTTTATCTATAGGATCCTTTAATCACCAAATACCTTATACGACATGAAACTGAAAAACAGATCGTCATTCCCAAAGGAAGCATACCATCGAATAAGGAAGCATAAGGTTAAGGCATTCCCAAAGGATCCTTATACGACATGAAACTGACGAATACCAAGCCCCATGACGAAGCATACCACACCAACTCTTTTGTAATCAAATGTCCAGTAGTCATCCTTTAATGAATGGACACTTTTGTAATCGAATATCAACTAATGAATGATATCTTTTGATCCTTATCGCCTAATATATTTACCTGTTACCACTAATTCTAATGAATGATATCTTTTGATCCTTATTCCCTAATATAATTATCTGCTCTATTAACAGATTATTAAATAGATACGTAATATCTTGAACAAAGGTTACAACCGATATCATAGGAACACATCTGCTCCCTCTGCCCCCCGCGAAGCGGGGGTTACCAATCTAGTTTTATATAAACTATGTTAAAATGGCTTTTGATTTCAAATTGGGTCCTCCTATATATATATATATATATATATATATATATATATATATATATATATATATATATATATATATATATATATATATATATATATATATATATACTAGTGGGGTACCCGCGCGATGCAGCAGCGGCAATTAGTTTTATTTCGGTGAATAATTTCCTGGCGGCAATTAATTAAATTTGGTGAACATGTCAACCGCCGCAGGATGAAGATGCAGTGGAAGAAGAATAATCGAGATTGTTCTTTTTCAAACATGGCTATTATCGAAATTTTTCGGGACTCTCAACCACAAAACGAAACAAAAAAAATGTTTTTCGACTTGACAAAGTAATCATTTTCGGCTTTTTT